AGCTACAGGTTTGCGCTGACAAGTTGATTTCTTTAATCGTCTTTTGTGATGAAATATGTGATAAGGTTGATGCTGATCTATCTTGCAGACACAGAGGAGTTATCAAAACTCAATTTTGTAAATCCATTCAATGTAATTTAATTATCTCAGATGTACATGCTAAGTGATTATCATGGGGTCCTTATCTATTCTCTGCAGACGTGTTGAACTCTGCTTGCTATGTCATTTACATGTCAGTGTCTAAGTGAAAGTGAATCTCTGGTTTTCTAAAGTGAATCTTGGGTCTAGACTGTCCTTATAATCGTTGATGTTTTTACTAACAAAGATCTTTTGAGTGAGTCTTATAAGGTATCTCCATATCCCTACGAATGATAGCCAAAAGTAAAATGTCACTCTTCTCTATGATCATGTGACTCGTGTGATCCAGGTAAGTTTTCTCTCTGTGACCGGTTAGTTTTATCAGAATATGCAATCAAGTAGAATCTGATAATATAGCTACAAGCAGGGGGAGAATTGTGTAAAAGACTGATTGGTTATCTAGAACTTTTGGAGAGATTTTTACACTGTACCTGCTTGAGAATTGAGCAACTCAAAAATTATTTTGTAACTAATGGTTTAGTGAATTATATTGCTTTTGTGCTTCACTGGTTGCGTGGTTGTGAGTTGATGTTTGCAGATTCAGAGATTGACATATTCAGATAAAAAGGGGGAGAGTGTAAGCTCAAGGATTTGGAGCTTGACATGTTGGTGCAATGACACAGAGAGAGTGTTAGTTGACAAGAATATTCGGAGTGTGGCTCGTACATATGCAAGGATGTTGGAGTCTATAGTGTTGCGGTTGTGTTACACATGGGCGTTAGTGTGTTACACAAGGCACGTAGAATGAAGAACTAAAGCGTGGTGACGTGGAGAGNATTTGTAAACGTGATCAACAGGGGTTGGTTCACGCAAAGGGTAGATTAAGAATTGGTCTGTGGCAAGCCGTGTGTGGCGTTGTGTAATTCAGATTAGACAAGTCTTTGTAAAAGATTGTTTAAGTGATTCTTAATAAAAAGACAGTTGGTCTTGAATCCTTTGTGTTCTTATTGGTTTCACCTGCTGTAGACTTTTCAGAGTTCAAGTTGAGAAGTTGGAGGATGCTAACAAAGCTGGAGGGAAAGAATCAAAAAGCTGTACGTTGATTTTAACTGAAGGAGACTCAGCTAAGGCTCTAGCCGTAAGTGTTTTTGTCAGCTACCTATCTAGTTTTGTCTTGGCACACCTAATAATACTCTTTTTATGTTTTAGATGGCGGGGATGTCTGTGGTTGGACGTGACTATTACGGTGTGTTTCCCCTACGAGGAAAATTACTTAACGTTAGGGAAGCCACCACAAGTCAGATCACTAACAATAAGGAAATTGAAAACATCAAGAAGATTCTTGGACTGAAGCAAAATAGGGTGTACGAGAATGTTAACTCACTGAGATATGGACATATGATGATTATGACAGATCAGGTATTCTACTTACTATCTCTACACTCACTTCTTTTATGTGTCCATTTGATTAAATCTTTATGTCCAACTTTTTCAGGATCACGATGGTTCCCATATAAAGGGTCTCTTAATCAACTTCATCCATTCTTTTTGGCCAACATTACTCAAGGTTCCATCATTCCTAGTTGAGTTCATCACCCCCATTGTGAAGGTACATATTAAATTCTTACTTGCATATAAATTAATAAATATACTAAATTAATAAATTTCTTCGGTCCTTAATTATACCTTAGTTATACCGGTTCAAAATATGTTAGAAATCGAAATAATAAGATAATAATTTTAAGAACAAATATTCAAAAATAGAGAAACAGAAAAAAGATTTTTTTATAAATTAATAAGTTTATAAATTATAATAAATTTTGTAGTCTCAATATCATTAGTTTATAGAGTTTTCCTATATCTTAGTGTTTTTTTATAAATTAACATGATTATAAATTAATGAAGTTTTGTAGTACCAGCATCATTAATTTATAGAGTTTTACTGTATCTTAGTGCTTGACATAGGAGAAAAAAAGAATTTTAACAACTGCCAATAAACATATTGTACTTAGGCTACACGCAGGACCGGTGGTTCGCGCAACCCTGAAGTTCTGTCATTTTACTCGATGCCTGAATACGAAAGCTGGAAAGAAAGTCTGGGCGGTAATGCTAGTGGCTGGACTATAAAATACTACAAGGTTTGTTGTAACTATTAATGGATCACTCTTGGCAACTCTGCATATTAATTTTCCTTTTATGTCTTTGTAGGGGTTGGGAACAAGTACTTCTAAGGAAGGCAAAGAGTATTTTGAGAGCCTTAATGTTCACAAAAAGGATTTTGTGTGGGAGGATGAGCAAGATGGAGAAGCGATTGAACTTGCTTTTAGTAAAAAGAAAATTGAAGCCAGAAAAAACTGGCTTTCTCATTTTGAGGTATGCAGGACAAATGTGTAGTACCTTAAGGATGTTCTTTGCTCATTGTTTTTTTTTTTTTATTTCAGTCTGGCACTCATCTTGATCAGAAGCAACAGAAGATTAGCTTCAGTGACTTTGTAAACAAGGAACTTATCTTGTTCTCTATGGCGGATCTTCAAAGGTCGATTCCTTCCATGGTTGATGGGCTCAAACCCGGCCAGAGAAAGATACTGTTTTGTTCGTTTAAAAGGAATTTCATCAAGGAGGCCAAGGTTGCTCAGTTCTCTGGTTATGTATCAGAGCATTCAGCTTATCACCACGGTGAGCAGAGTCTTGCTAGTACGATCATTGGTATGGCGCAGGATTATGTTGGCAGCAACAACATAAACTTGCTTCAACCAAATGGTCAATTTGGCACACGGAATATGGTAAGTAAAAGCTGACTTTTTCTTGTTTATTTAATGCTGAGTATCATTTTGGTGTGTACGTTGATTTGTGTGGTAGGGTGGGAAAGATGCAGCAAGTGCAAGATACATTTTCACTAAACTTTCTTCAGCAACCAGAGTCTTATTTCCCAAGGATGATGATGTTCTCCTCAATTATTTGAATGAAGATGGGCAGAAGATAGAGCCAACTTGGTAACTCTTTGCCCATCTAGTTACATTCATTATTTTTTTTCCAAAGACTATGGTTCCGATTAGTATCCATCGCTTAATCGTAGAATGCAGAAAGATTTGATTAAGCCGCGGAAAATTTTAAAATTTTCAGAATGATGGAATACATATTAAATTAATGAAATTAAACTAAAAAGCATTTTATGTTTTTTTTTTCATTCCGCAAGTTTTGTTGATTAGTAAAATATTTGTCAATCGTGTTTAAAATATCGCGTTTATAGCTAACTTGATATCTGAATCCTTTGTTAGGTACATGCCTATCATTCCAACTGTGCTTGTGAATGGCTGTGAAGGAATTGGAACCGGGTGGAGTTCTTTCATACCCAACTACAACCCTAGAGACATTGTTGCCAACGTGAGGCGTCTACTTAATGGTGAAAGTATGGTCCCTATGGATCCTTGGTATAGAAACTTCAAAGGAACTATTGAGAAAACTGCTTCCAAAGATGGTGGGTCTACCTACACAATCACTGGTGTATATGAGGAGATTGATGAAACTACTCTCCGTATAACGGAGCTACCAATCAGAAAATGGACCGATGATTACAAACAGTTCTTGGAAACTTTGAAGACTAATAATTACACTCCCTTTTTCCAGGTATAACGAATAAAATCAAAACTGGTGAATGGATTTTTATATGTTTCTTACTAATTTATTTTTCTATGCAGAAAGTTGGGGCTTACTATGACGATACATCTGTGGATTTTGAGCTTCAATTAAGTGAAGAAAACATGATGATGGCTCGTCAAGAAGGCTTTTTGAAGTTTCTCAAACTTACCACGACAATAGGTACAACAAATATGCACCTATTTGATGCAAATAATGTGATAAAGAAATACACAACTCCAGAACAAAGTAAGTGTTGAGATCAAAGTTTGTTAAGTTTATTTTTCCCTCTCCTTAACATACACTAATGTTTAATTTAACCTCACCTTGCAGTTCTTGAGGAGTTCTTTGAGCTCAGGCTCCAATACTATGAAAAAAGAAAGGTTTGAAAATCTTAAAATCTGAGTTAGTCCTTTTAGGGGTTTTAGCTATTAGCGTTAACTGTCTGGTTATGTATGCAGAAAGTGATCTTGGAGAATCTGGAGTTAGAGCTACTGAAACTAGAGAACAAAGTGAGGTTTATTCTTGGAGTTGTCAGAGAAGAAATCAAAGTGAACAACAGGAAGAAGTCTGATCTTGTCCAGGAGTTGAGAAAGAAAGGTTTCACACCATTCCCCAAGAAGGTCAAGCCTGTGGAAGCTGCGGTTGCTGGAGCAGTAGATTCAACTCAAGAAGAATCTGAACATGTTCCTGCTTCAAGCTCCTCCACGTTTATATCTGGTTCAGACTATGACTACCTGTTGTCACTGTCTATAGCTACGTTGACTCTAGAGAAAGTGCAGGAGTTATGTGGAGAGAGGGATAAAATGAAGCAACAAGTTGAAGATTTAAAGAAGGCCACACCAAGATCTCTCTGGCTCAGAGACCTTGAGTCTCTTGATGCAGAACTTGATGTAAGCAGCATTTACAACCCTAAACTTTCTCATCACTAGTGTCATTGATGCAATGTTTTATCTTAATTTTTTCAGAAACTTGATGTGGAAGATGCTAAAGCAGAAAAAGAGAGAGAGGCAGCACAAAAGAAGCTCAGGGAAAAAGCTGGAGTGCCTTTAAAGACTGGAAGAGCAGTAGCAGCAGCACCAAGGAAACAGGCACCAAAGAAGACAGCAAAGAAAGAAAGTGTGTCAGACACAACAGATGGTTCTAGCTTTGTAATGGACATAGGTGACAACGTAGTGGAAGTTGCAAAGGCTAAAGGTAGACAAGGAGTCAATAAGAAGGCGCCAGAGAATGATGAGATGATTGATTTAGCACAGAGATTTGCTCAATACAATTTCGGATCCACCTCTGAGAACACAAGCAGTAAGCTTCTAAACATATAAACTTATAAAACCACATAATGAAAGTTAATCTTGTCTTTTTTTTATGTGGGTGTAACAACAGAAACAGTAATATGTTTGGATGATGATGATGACGACGAGGTTGTTGAAGTTGCTGCACCAGCTAAAGCAAAGCCAGCGGCAGCTCCGAGAAAGAGAGCACCAGCAGGGAGGAAGAAGCAGGAGGAAGTGGTTGAGGCGTCACCGGAGAAGAAAGTGAGGAAGATGAGAGATTCACCGTTTAACAAGAAGAGTAGTTCAGTGTTGGGGAGGTTGGCTAATAGTACTAACAATGAGGAAGAAAGTGAGGAGGGGAGTCTTGAGACTGTTGTGGTTGCTGAAACTTCTTCAGGGAGGCCTAAGAGAGCAAACAGGAAGGAGTTGAGGTATGTGTTGAGTGATTCGGAGAGTGAGTCTGCGAATGATTCTGCGTTTGATGAAGATGATGAGTAGAGAGAACCAACTCGGTTTCCAAAACTTGTTTCATGCTATGTCAAACATTAAGTTTCTCGTCTCTCTTTATGTTCTTTTGTATTAGACTTTGTGTTTGACCAAACCGGAGCTTACATTAGTGATTAGTAATTGAAAATTTGAATGAATGTTATTTTGAACTTCTAGTAAGAGTTTTTCCCGCTATTGTGTTATGTATGAGGCTATGAGGCCTCCTATTCTGTACCAGTACCACAGGAAGAAGAAAGGCCCAGCCCAAGATGTATAACGAGATGCAAGAGAAGGTGAGGATCTAGAAGGAAGCAACGAGGAAGGGAGAAGGAATATCATGAATAACGGCATCGCTCATCAGCACATGGGGTGTCTGTGACGTGTCCTTTGCTATCTACTTTTTATAAATAGTATTAAGGAATAAGAGTTAGTTATCGAGAGAGAGGATCGATCACGTGAGGGAGAGAGAGACTCCTGTGTAAAACTCTAAGAACCTTTTGTATTTCTTGTGGCAGAAGGAATTACATTATTGTTTTTTCTTAAGTTACAAGTTTGTGTTCTTAGTCGTATCAAACTTGGTATCAGAGCGAGACAAACCTGAGGACTTGCGATGGGACCCAAGAAGAATGATGACAAGGTAGCGGAGCAAATCCAACGTGACGATGAACGGTTCGTGGCGATGGAAGGCAAGCTATCAACCATGGAAGAACGGATGAACGAGATGATGAAGATGATGGCCACTGGGTTTGGGAAACTCGATCTGGTGAAGGAGGTTCGACCCGGGGAAACGGATCGGCGTGTTGAAGGGCCGATATCCTCCGGCTTGGACTCCTCGCTAGGCGACGTTCTTAAAGCCAAGGTGTGTCTAGGAGAAGGATCAGGAAAACAGATCATGGTGGAGTCGGAGCACGTGTCTGGGGCACGATCTGTGACGGAGACGGGACCTGACGTGGGATCCGTCACGTTTCGGAACCAGCCACGACGTGTTACGATCAACCGTGAAGCATATCTGACAGAGAAGCTGGAGATTCCACTCTTTGACGGAGACGAGTCGGAGAGCTGGGTGCTCCGAGTGGAACAATACTTCGAGCTCGGGGATTTCACGGAGGAGGACAAGCTTCGGGCCGTCAGAATGTGTTTCATCGGCGACGCACTACCTTGGTATCGTTGGGAACGGAGTCGAAACCCGTTCCGTAGCTGGGAGCAGATGAAGATTAGGGTGTTGGATCAATTCTCAGCGGTGAGGGATACGAGCGCGGGCGAGCGGATCCTTTGTTTGCGCCAGAAGGGAACCGTGCGGGAGTTTCGCCGTGACTTCATCACCTTGGCGACTAACACCCCGGAGATACCGGATCCGATTCTGGAGATGGCTTTTATGAACGGATTAAAACCCAAAGTAAAAGCTGGAGTGAAGATGATGAACGTAAGGGGGTTACAGAAAGTGATGGACGCGGCAAAGTTGGTGGAGGATTGGTCGGAAGGGGGAGAAGTGGAGGAGGAGCAGGCGGAGACAACCCCTAAGGCGGGCCGAGGCTCGAACGGGCGATTTCAGCCAAACAAACCGGCCCAACAAGCGAGTCAAGGCCCAACTCAAGGAAAACCCAAGCCCAACCAAACCCCAACGACGTCGTCTAACAACACCCACACAAAACCTAATCACAACAGGTTGAAACCCCCATTCCGGCGATTGACACCTGCGGAGGTGGCAAAGTGGAAGGCGGAGGGGCTTTGCTACCGATGCGACGAGAAATACGTATACCCCCACCGGTGCTCACAAGCGGAGTTGGTGGTTATGATGGTCCTCGACGATGGCACGGAGATTGATGTTTCGAGTTGTTCCGTGGAGATGGAGGAGGCGGCGCAACCTGAGAGCGTCGAAGTGGCTGAAATCTCGGCAAGTTCGATCGCGGGGATAACTTCGTCACGCACTATCAAGCTGATGGGTACGTTGATGGGAAGGGACGTAGTGGTGTTAATCGACAGCGGAGCCACTCACAATTTCGTGTCGAAGAACTTGGTGAAACAGGTGGGACTAGATACAGATGAAACGAGAGGGTATCGAGTCTTGACAGCTGGTGGTATCACTTTCAAGGGAGCGGGCTTGTGTAGCAAGCTGGAGCTGGTGCTGCAGGGATGTACTATTACCTCGAGCTTCCTGCCATTGGAACTGGGAGGAGCAGATGTTATCTTGGGTATCCAATGGCTGGAGACTCTGGGAAATATGAAGGTAAATTGGAAGTTACAGATTTTACGCTTCAAAATTGGGGAAGACAAGTACGTGTTACAAGGGGATCCGGGGTTAGGTTGCTCAGCTGTGTCTTTGAAGTCGATTCTGAAGTCGATCCAGCATGAAGGGGAAGCGATGTTGGTGGAGTATCACGGCTTGCAACTTGAAGGAGAGGCAATTACCGCAGAAGCTAAGATCCCACGTCCGTTACAAGGAGTTCTGGAAGAGTTCGCGGGGGTATTCGCTGAGCCCGAAGGCTTACCTCCCTCACGAGGCAAGGAGCATGCAATTGAGCTGAAGAAAGATGCCGGACCTGTGAGTGTCAGACCATTCCGGTACCCACACGCTCAAAGAGAGGAGATTGAGAAGCAGGTTACCGCCATGTTAACTGCCGGAATAATCAGGAATAGCAACAGCCCGTTCTCAAGTCCGGTGTTGCTAGTGAAGAAGAAGGACGGAAGCTGGAGGTTCTGCGTTGATTACCGGGCTCTCAACAAGGCTACGATCCCGGATTGTTATCCAATCCCAATGATCGACCAATTGTTAGATGAGTTACAAGGCGCGGTGATCTTCTCGAAGCTAGACTTGAAGTCGGGGTATCACCAGATCTTGGTCAAGGCGGAGGATGTGCAGAAAACCGCATTTCGCACCCACGACGGCCATTACGAATTCTTGGTGATGCCGTTTGGATTGTCAAATGCACCGGCTACTTTCCAATCGCTGATGAATGAAGTCTTCAGGAAATATTTGAGGAAGTTCGTTCTCGTGTTCTTTGATGATATACTGGTCTACAGTAAGACGGAGGAGGAGCATCAGGAGCACTTGAGGTTGGTACTGGAAGTTTTGAGCGCACAGAAGCTGTATGCTAATAGGAAGAAATGTGAGTTTGGGAGTTCCCGTATAGAGTATCTGGGGCATGTGATCAGTGCTGAGGGCGTATCAGCGGACCCTGGAAAGATCCAAGCAATGACGGAGTGGGTTGCGCCTAGGACAGTGAAGGAGTTAAGGGGCTTTCTCGGGTTAACAGGCTATTACCGGAAGTTTGTACTAGGGTACGGAGATATTGCAAGGCCACTTACAACATTGCTTAAGAAAGATAAGTTCCAATGGACTCCGGGTGCAGCAGAAGCATTTGAGCTATTGAAGAAGTCAATGTCGTCTGTTCCAGTGCTAGCGCTTCCAGACTTCAAGGAGCAATTTGTAGTCGAGTCTGATGCGTCGGGAGTAGGCTTGGGAGCGGTTTTAATGCAGAAGCAGCGACCCATAGCCTATTTCAGCCAGACATTGACAGAGAGACAGCAGTTGAAGTCGGTTTATGAAAGAGAGTTGATGGCAATTGTGCTAGCCATCCAGAAATGGAGACACTATCTGTTGGGAAGAAAATTCGTGGTCATGACAGATCAGAAAAGCCTCAAATTCTTGCTAGAGCAAAGGGAGATCAATATGGAGTACCAGAAGTGGTTGTCGAAGATTCTGGGTTTTGATTTTGACATCTACTATAAACCGGGACTTGAGAATAAGGCAGCAGACGCACTCTCTCGAAAATGTTCTGTGCCGGAGTTGTTTGCAGTGTCTGTACCGGTGTCAATTCAGTTGGAAGAAATAAGTACAGAGGTGGAGAAGGACGCTGAGTTAACTAAGTTGATCCAAGAGCTGCAAAAGGACCCAAAGACGCATCCAGATTACGCTATGGTTCAAGGGAGGCTCCTAAGGCAAGGTAAACTGGTACTTCCGAAGACATCACAGTTAATTGGAGTGATCTTGAAAGAGTACCATGATAGCAAATACGGAGGTCATGGGGGGGTGTTGAAGACTCAGAAGAGAGTAGGAGCTCTGTTTTATTGGCAAGGGATGATGTCAGATGTAAGGAGGTATGTAGCTTCTTGTCAGACTTGTCAACGACAGAAATATTCGACGTTGGCACCAGGAGGACTGTTACAACCACTGCCAATTCCTCAAAGCGTGTGGGAAGACATCTCCTTAGACTTTATCGAGGGACTACCCAAATCCGAGGGGATCAATACAATATTGGTAGTGGTGGACCGGCTCACGAAGTACGCACATTTCATTGGTCTGAGGCACCCATTCACAGCTATCGACGTGGCTTTGGTCTTTGTTCAGGAAGTGGTAAGGCTACACGGGTTTCCTAAATCTATTGTATCAGATCGCGACAGGATATTCACAGGACAGTTTTGGAAGGAATTGTTTCGATTGGCGGGTACGAATCTGTGTTTTTCCACGGCTTACCACCCACAATCGGACGGTCAGACAGAGGTTACCAACAGAGGGTTGGAAACATACCTTCGTTGTTTCGCGGGAGAGAAGCCAAGGACTTGGGCGAAGTTCCTACAGTGGGCTGAGTTCAGTTACAACACATCCTTTCACTCTGCCATTCACATGTCCCCATTCCAGGCTCTGTACGGCAGAGAACCACCATCGTCGCTGCGTTATGAGAACGGCTCCACTAATAACGCTGAGTTGGAATCCAGGCTGCAGGAGAGGGATGACAACTTAGTGGTCCTGAGGCAACAGTTGTTGAAAGCTCAACAGACGATGAAAGTGAAGGCTGACTCGCACAGAAGGGAAGTTGAGTTTCAGGTGGGGGACAAGGTGTTTCTGAAGCTTCGCCCGTACAGACAGAAGACACTGGCGAGGCGAGTAAATGAAAAACTATCGGCTCGATACTATGGTCCTTATGAGGTTGCAGCTCGTGTGGGGAAAGTCACGTATAAACTGCATTTGCCAGCAGAAGCACGCATTCATCCCACCTTCCATGTGTCTCAACTCAAACGAGCGGTGGGTGAATTTGTTGAGCAGGCGACGCTTCCACCTCAGCTGACTGCAGAAGGGGTTTTGGAAGTAGTACCGGAAGCAGTCAGAGCTCATAGAGTTAATGCCAACACGGGCCATGAGGAGCTGTTGATTAAGTGGACGGGATTAACAGAGGCAGACTGTACTTGGGAGTGGAAGAGTGTAATTGAGAAGCAGTTTCCAGATCTTGACCTTGAGGACAAGGTCAGTTTGAATGGAGGGAGTAATGTTATGTATGAGGCTATGAGGCCTCCTATTCTGTACCAGTACCACAGGAAGAAGAAAGGCCCAGCCCAAGATGTATAACGAGATGCAAGAGAAGGTGAGGATCTAGAAGGAAGCAACGAGGAAGGGAGAAGGAATATCATGAATAACGGCATCGCTCATCAGCACATGGGGTGTCTGTGACGTGTCCTTTGCTATCTACTTTTTATAAATAGTATTAAGGAATAAGAGTTAGTTATCGAGAGAGAGGATCGATCACGTGAGGGAGAGAGAGACTCCTGTGTAAAACTCTAAGAACCTTTTGTATTTCTTGTGGCAGAAGGAATTACATTATTGTTTTTTCTTAAGTTACAAGTTTGTGTTCTTAGTCGTATCATATTGTCTCAGTGTTATGGTTAGTTTTACGACATTAAAAAGAAGTTTTTTTCTCATTATTGTCTCAATGTTATGCTTGCCTAGCCAACGAATTGCAACCACTGTTTGTTGTCTGAATATCTAGTTTCTAAAGTTACTTTCATATCAAGAACAAATGTAAATTATGTAATAACTTCCTCCTCTCATCATTATGGTCAAAGTTGATCCTTGAATGGCTAAAGAGGTCAAAGTTGACTAATGAGGCCATGAGTAAAGTCAATCCTAGTAATCATGGAGTTTTTTTGGTAATTCAATTAACCAAATTTCAAGATCAAATACTTAGTTCTAGATGTAGTCATTTAAATTAACACTTGACTCATCAAAAATACACTATTGAAACAGTCATCCTAAATCTCATTAAAAATTACTGCCATTGACCATGGAAAAATGTCATAAAATTAAATCGTAATTGAGTCTGTGAGTCAAAGGAATGAATATTAGATAAGATAGCTTTGACTCCATGAATTAGTCAACTAGTACTGAAATGTTAAATAATTAACTTAAGGGGGTTGTTTTTAAAACAGAACTAAAATTGAGAGACCAAACAAGAGAATAGATAAAAAAATAAACAGACAGTTCCAGACTTCCAGCAATCACCGTTCACTCCCCTTAGGGTTTCAGGAACAGCCTTTGACAAATCGGAGAGAAATATATGGGGTCGAATGAAAGAGATGATCATACGACGCAGCAGCATCACCCTCCTCATATCAGCAGTCTCGTCGTCCGTACATCCGGAAGCAACGACGGAGAAGTTGACCGCCACGCCGCCACCGGAGAAGTCTCCCGTGACCACCGGCCTTCTTTTCGTCATAAGACTGAAAACGGTTCGTGTCTCTCTTCCATCGTTATTATGACACTCTCCAGAACGATTAGTAGTTAGCGAGAATTGCTACTTAGGTTTTGTAGAAACAATGTTAGTCTGATTGGTGTCTTTGAGGTTCTGTTTGAAGCAAAGTCATGGGGGTTGCTGTTCTGTCTTGTGGTTTGTGTAATAACAAAAGAATCTCATTTTGCTTATTTGATTGTATAGTCTTAAAGGTCAGTTACACACTATTGAGATTTAAACTGCTCTAGACAATGTTCAAAAAATTCGTTACGTTGTGGTATGTAGCCTTATACAATATTATTATTTAGACTGGATTTTTCCAAAAAAAATTGTTTTGGAGTAAAATCGTTTCATTTAGATCCGATTTTCCGTTTAGGCGGGCGCTAGGCAATGGCTATACCGATTTTTAGAACACTGGTTCGATAGAACACTGTATAGCCTTAAAGTTCAGTTAAGCTCTTGAGATTAAACTGCTCTAGATAATGTTCAAAAATTGACAATGTATAAAAGATTATTATTTAGACGGGCATTTTAAAAAAAATGTTTTGGAGAAATTTCTCTATGTAGATCTGATTTTCCGATTAGGCGGGCGTTATACAGTGCCTATACCGATTTTTAGAACACTGGTTCAATAAATATGAGCATTCCCTTTTCTCTTGTAAACGGGTAAAGGAATCTTGAGCTGAGTTGTTTTGGTGAACGAATCTTGAGCTGATTTGTTTAGTCTATTCCCTGATGCTTTTGGACCCTGAGAATGCTATTTGGGAAACCAACCACCGTTTAATCTCACTATGCCATCGCTTCAGTGTTTTAGTCTCACTTCTGCTGACTACTTTTTGTTGTGTGTTAGGACATAGAACTCGTGCAAGTTCTACCTCACCACCTCGTCGTCCATACGAAGATCATCGGCACGTCTCTGATCTAAACCATTCAGGTGCGCCGCCTCCTCGTGGCCGTGACTTCAGCAGCAGAAGAGAATCTTCAGGGAGATACAGAGACTATTCACCACCACCACAAGCTAGAGGTGGACCTGGTGGTCGTCGTTTTGATGGGCCTGAACCTTCTCATGGCATGAGCAGGAACAATAACTCAAAGGTGCAACCAAGAGATGGAGATTGGTATTGTCTAGACCCATTGTAAGTTATCCTTTGGCTAATTCATATCTCACAATCTACAGAACTTTTTATAGATTTCATGTGTATGTGTTACGGATACAGATGCAGAAACTTGAACTTTGCGAGACGAGAAGTGTGTTACAAGTGCAAGAGGGATCGCTACGCACGTGCTAATAGTCCCCCACCCCCTCGTCTTCTCCCTCCTCCTCCCATCAATGGCTACAGGTCTTCTCCTCCACGTGGCTACCCGCCACCAAGACTTGACTATCCCACATGGAGAGACAGAGACAGAGAACGAGACCGTATGCGTTACTCAGACCTTGAGTACCCTCCTAACAGGCTCCATCCTCAGCCACTTCCCAAACCTCACTATGAGAGACGACCACCACCTCTCAGTCCACCTCGTGGTGGAAGATGGGGACGACATTCAAGAGAGAGAAGCAGATCGCCACCATTCAGAGACGCTCCACCACATCATCCAATGAGGAGCAGATCACCGCCATTGAGAGATGGTCCACCACCACCACCACATCTCAGAGATTACCGCCGTGACAGTTACTTTGATAGGCGTGGTGGTGGCAGAGACAGGATGTGAAATTCTTTACTGATGCGGAGCTGTGTATGTCTTAAAAGAGTTTGGTTTCAGACAGTTCAAAAGATTTTCCTTAAAAAGAAAAATTCAATGTGACCTTGTATTACACCATAGATTCTTTTGTTCCAATTTTGAATGTTACCAAAACATTTGTCCTATTTATGCAAAAAAAAAAATTTCGGGGCGAAATGAAAAATACGTTATTCTTAAATTATAAATACGCACACTTAAAAGAAACGATCGGACGGTGGAGAAACATTAAAACCTAAAGCCCTTACGAATTCAAATCGTTGGATCACCATATCTAACATTAACCGTACGATGAGACTCCCACGTAAATCTAACCGTCGAATATAATCTCTAGAAAAATTGAAATTTCAAAATTATGTTAAAGAGAAGAGGGAGGAGGAGATACCGTGGAAGACGAAGAAGAAGAAGAGGAAGAACAAAAACTCCACAAAGTATTTAGCTTTCACTTTCCTTCTTCTTGAGCTCAGAACCCTAAAGCTCATCCATTTCTCTCTCTCTCTCTCTCGGATCAAAAATTCAAAGTTCCAAACTTTAACACCCGCCGAATCCGTTTTCCGATTTTTTCTCGCGCTCCAGCGCGGGATTTGGGTTTTTTCTCAGTGTGTTTCTCTAAGCTGATTTTTTTTTTTAATTTAAAGGAGAATAAAAAAAAATAAAAAATCGAAATTTTTTCAAGATGGGTAACACCGGTGGAAAAGGTAACTTCCCGCCACAAAATCACGGTGGTTCTGACTTCACTGGTGCTCCCAATGAACATTCACTATCTTAACCCTCTCCTACGGCGACTAAACTTGAATTTGTGAATAAAAATTCAAACTTTGGTGTGAATACGTAAGTTTTTTTACTGTTTCTGTCCAAAGATTAAAGCTTTCTTACAACCCTTAATATATTATATTCCCATTTAGTTTTTTGAATTTTCAACTTTTCTTGCCTTTGGCTTTTTTTTTTTTGATGGTAGGAAGCAGGAATCCCCAAAATCTAGACCAAGGCCTGCTGTGGAAGGTAGAGATGGAACTCCTCAAAAGAAGAAGCAGTGTAACTGTAAACACTCTCGCTGCTTGAAACTGTATGTCTTTAGGGTTTTAGCATTTATCAAAACTTGTTTATCTATGTTGTGGTTTATTTGTAAATTATCATCACTTATTTGTTAAAAACCTGTTATGATGATTAGGTACTGTGAGTGCTTTGCATCTGGAACATATTGTGACTGTTGTAACTGTGTCAACTGTTTCAACAACGTTGACAATGAACGTGCAAGACGAGATGCTGTTGAAGCAATTCTGGACCGGAATCTATATGCCTTTAGGCCTAAGATTGCTAGCAGTCCACATGGTGTGAGGGACAAAAGGGTAAGTTGTTTAAGGATCATCAATGTCTAAGGTGTTGTGAGATGCTTAAACTGTTGATTTTGTAGGAGGAGATTGGTGAAGTTGTGTTGTTAGGGAAGCACAACAAAGGATGCAACTGCAAGAAATCAGGATGCCTTAAAAAGTATTGTGAGTGTTTTCAAGCGAACATTCTTTGTTCCGAGAACTGCAAATGCTTAGATTGCAAAAACTTTGAAGGAAGTGAGGAGAGACAAGCTTTGTTTCACGGTGAACATGGTAACAACAACATGGCTTATCTTCAACAAGCAGCTAATTCAGCTATTACTGGTGCTATTGGTTCCTCAGGCTTTGCTCCTTCCCCAGCTTCTAAGAGAAGGAAAGGAGGTCAAGATATTTGCTTCAGCCAAGTAAACAAAGATTCATCTCTAGCAACTGTTGGCACTTTATCAAAGTTTGTATATAGGTGAAGTTTCTGGTGTGCACAAGTTATATTGTTGAGCCAAAAAGCTGCATAGCACTGACTTGTTTGTTGTATTTATTTATGAAGGTCTCTCTTAGCAAATGTAATCCAACCGCAGGATGTGAAAGCTCTTTGTTCTGTTTTGGTCTCTGTAGCCGGAGAAGCAATAAAGACATTAACATGTGAAACTTTGAGTGAAAATAACTCTGTATTGATGTGGTTTTAGCTCTATGTATATTTTTTCATTTATCTTCCTTTGGATCTTACTTTAGATAAAAGAAATGAAAACCGGGTTGAAGATCAAACAGAAACTTCTTTAGCTTCTTCTGCACAAGATGGAGATCAAGCTGATAAGTCTGGACCAGAGGGTTCTAATTCAGATGCTTGTAAAGGAATGCCACTATCTCCAGCAACTTTGGCGTTGATGTGTGATGATGAACAGGATATTATATTAATGGTAGCAGCAACTGAACCTAATGGTGGCTGTGGAACAAACTCACAGGGGCAGTCACAGAACTGCGCAGAAAGGGAGAGAATGGTGTTAACCAAGTTCAGAGATTGCCTTAGTCGTCTTATCACTTATGCAGAATTAAAAGGTATTGTTGTAGTGTTGTTTCTTGTGCTTCATCAGTGAAGAAACTTTCTTCTCTAAGTTTGTTGGTTTTTGCAGAATCAAAGAGTTCATATTTAGCAAGAAGGCCTATATAAGTTCCACCAGTTGTGAATGGAGATTCACAAGCCACTACTCAACCTACAGTCAGCAAACCGGAGCTGTTGCAGACTACAACAAATACCTCAAGCACTCATCAACCTCTCCAGCTTTACCGGAGAAGAAAGACATCTGAATTAACAAAGTATAACTGTAGGATGAAAATATTTTTACCAGTGAACATAAACAACAAGCTGCAGTTAGACTCAACATGCCGTTGGATAATGCTTTAGTTTTTTTTTTTTTTTTTTTTTTTTTGTCTTGTCGTCAAACAAACATATTCATATAGATTTGAACCAAAGATATGCTTTAGTTTTGAATGAGATTTTCTACGTTTTTTTACAATTATTTTAATGTAAGTTGTGTTAGCCTAAATAGTCTATTTTCCATACTTATATGTTGGATGGTTCATGTTTTCAAATTCATCATATTGGTGTTCTGAGGTTTTGAGTTAACAAGCAGTTAGATAAATAAAACTATATAAACCATAGTTCTTAAGTTATTTCTTTGTTTTTACTTTCAATTTCTGAATGCAATATACACGTATGGAGATCAAAACATTATTAGAGAACAAACATTTAGGCATCTCCAATAGTGCATCAACATGAATCAAAATAAGGCAAAGCAGCAAAATGAGACAAAGCATTGAAAAATAAGGGAAATCTCTTTCCAATAGTACATCATTTTGAGGGAAAAAAATGAGAGTATAAATAATGTTACATCATATTTGAGGAAACATTATTCACAAACTGATTCTGATGTTGAACTTTCTTATTTGCATAATAATCTCTAAACTTTTGAAAAAAAAAAATGCATAAACAAAATATTACTTTCAAAACTTTTATCTAACAAATCTATACTGGTTAAATTTGTTTATAACTCACAATTTATGAATGATATACAAAATAAATAATAACAGTAATATCAAAAATACATAAATCAAAACACACATATAAACCTAACACAACATAGAACATGTTTTGATTGATTATTTGTGGAAAAATATAGTAGTAGTATTGTTTAAATAAAATTCTATTTTAGTATTGTATGTGATTAATACAATAAACATTATGTTATAATAAGATTAGATTTTAGTTTAAAGTCTAAAATTTTAAGACAAGTGAACATAATTGTAAATTCTATCAAATAAAGAGTATTATTTGTAATAAATAAAAACTTGAGAAATGAATATATTAAGAATTGAAAGAAAAAAGGGAAATCATGGGAACAAATCACAAACTCATCTTGAAAAAAAAATGAAGGAAACCATTGGAGATGATTTTGATAAAGCTACGCTTGAACTTTTTTTTGTATGATAACATTTGTAAAGTGACTTGATATTTCATGATAGGAAATAGTTGAGAACTAATGATTGTCAATCCTGGTTAATTGTACAAATTATGATCAAAAAGCTAAAAACATAAGTAATAAATTTTCAACAAAAATATACAATTTCAGATTTATGAAGTTGCTACAATACCAACAAAAATATGTGATTTGTAACTGCATACATTTAATCACATAGTGTGAAAACTTCAATACTCAGTATATATATTTCGCCTGTTTCGCAGCTTCAGCTAGGATGTTGTATTGGGTTTATATCAACAAGGTTAGTCAACCCTTATAAAAATTTACTCTAAGCCCTTAGTTTTTAATAAGGATTCAAATATGTGAAATTGAAGTCTGTATGTTCTTCTGAAAACGAAATTGTAGCAAAATCGAAACTACCTATGGTTCCATTTGTTTAGATGTTGTAGACTTGTAGTGTTTGCTTAGAGGTTGTAGACATAGAAAGTACATGATAATATCAATAAGTTGTTTAGCTTTGTTCTTTTGCTTTTCATCATCAAGTGAACACATACATATGATTAGCTATGTTTTTATATTTCTATGCGTTATGTTTAATCTCAATTAGCTTACATTCTTATGTTTAGCTTTGTTCTTTTGTTAGCTATTATGTTTAGCTTTGTTCTTGTAAGCACCAACTAAACACTTTATTAAAAAAAATAAAAACTTATTTATTAAAAATAAAAAATTATATACTCTCATTTAGTGAATAACACACCTCCAGCCTCTCTTTCTGCATATACTTTGTTCAAAAGCATCTTTTGCTTATTTCTTTTAAGCTCATTTTTTTGTGCATTTACAACCGGGACCTTGATGATTTCGGAGCACTCTGCAGCCAAAAAGCAAAGCTTCATCATGAATTAAACATAGCAAAATACCAGGAAAATGAATAAATTGATGCTAAATGGACTAGTACTGCATTCATAATCTTGGAAACAGTGGTCTCATAGCTCTAAGTAGGCTATAACTATACCAAATGGGTCATGCTAAACTTAGTCTCAAGATATTGTTTATATCCCTAACTCTGCTTTGGGATTGAATGCAAGATCAAATTTTAACCAGTGATCATTCAGCCTAAGTTTTATCTTCATTTTGTTAATCTATTTGTCAATAAGAAAACTTAGATGAGACTGGGATCATGAGGGACTTTACCAATGGCATTCCTCTCATTGCCCTTTCCTCCAGAAACTTAGAAGGTTTGAAAAAGCCCCCATAAGTCTCAGATAATCTCTTGAGCCTTTCATATATGTACTTTGGTCCAACCGTGTCTGCCCAAAAGAGAACTCCACCGCTGCAACAAGGAAACAAAAAAGTGCTTACCATAAGATATGATCATCACCAAAACAAAAGGATAACGTAGTGATTATGCACCGGTAAGAAGGAAAACTCATTCCAAGGACAGATGCAACATCCAAATCTGAGGCTCTGATCACAACTCCTTCATCTAAGACACGACACGCCTCGTTAACCACAGGGAACAAGATCATCTCCACAATCTCTTTATCAGTTACTGTTATAGGCTGCAGAACAAAGACAAAGGATACATTAACCAAATAGTAAAACTTACTTATGTTTGGTAAAACCTCTTCTTTCTTACCTTCCCACCAGGCATGATGTTTGTAAGTTTCCTTGATTCCTCAACCACTGAAAGCACTGATGAATCAGGTTTTGGTTTGCTTCCCTTTTGGTATATATAATATCCTCTCCCATTGATTTTTCCTGAAGCAGCAGATGTTAAAAGTACACAGATGAGAGTTTTGCAAATGCAAGATCAAATCACATACCGTTTCTCCCGCTCTTAAGCAGAAGCTCAGTCAATGGAGACTTGAACAACCGGTCACCAAAGGCCTTGTCATATATATCCTTAGTAGCTATTGCAATACCATGTCCAGCCAAATCACCTAGCCTGAGAAGTAAACCTTTCTTCAGTTGCTAAGATAACCATACAGAAACACATACACATGAAGTAGAAGGAGAGACTTACTGGAAAGGACCCAAGGGCAAGCCGAAAGAGGTAATAACACTGTCCACTCTGAACAAGTCAACACCGAGATTGACCAACATATGTGCAGCTTGTGAATACGGAAGGAATGTTCTATTCACTGCAAAGCCTATGCAGTTTCCAACCACCACTGGAACTTTCTTTATGGTCTTTCCAAGTGCCATGAGATCAAGAATCACTTGTGGAGAAGTTTTCTTTGTACGAACTATTTCAAGAAGAGTCATAAGATGTGCCGGGCTGTAAGAAAAAGGCAAACCTCTGTTAGTTACATTAAATATACGAAAAGGATAAGAATATTTGTGATAGTGAAAATGAAGAATGACCTGAAGAAATGTGCACCAACAATGCGATCTTTTGAGTTAGTTTTTTCTCCAATTACGTTGAGGTCGATGGTTGATGTATTGCTCGCTAAAATGCAATGTGGTGGACAGACCTCTTCGATTTCTTTGAATATCTTTTGTTTCAACTCAATGTTTTCAATCACTGCCTGAAAAATTATACACTAGTTGACAATCTTTTGAAACTAACTAGATTTTGCAAATACTTGAAACCAAAGAGAAGGTAGAGACCTCTATGACCATGTCCACATCTTTGAACTCTGTGTAGTCTACTACTCCCTTTAGCAAAGAGAAGGCCTTTCCTGCTTCATCTTGTGTCAGTTTTCCCCTAGATACAAAGCTTTTGAGATTTGCTGTCACAAGAAAAAAAACTCAGTTTATTGTAAAAACGAATAAACCATATAATATGTTATTCCATCATATGCTATATGCATGCTTCTTTTGTCTCAAAACAACTCACTAAAGTGTCTATACACCTTTCTAATTTCTTAGGGCTGCATACATTACATTTCATCTGAGAACACCATTTTATATTGTTGATCTGACCAGATAAATACTTCTATCAAATAGCAACTGCATAGTTCTGGATAAGATAAGAACCTTCAACTGATTTTATTCCCTTCAGAAGGTACTCTGAGTTTATTTCTTTGAGCACAACTCTTATATTGCTTAGAAGTAGAGCAGTAGCTATGCCAGAACCCATCAGACCTCCACCAATAACTGCAACTTTTCTCATCGGTCTCGGTTTCAATCCAACGTCAGTTACATTAGGCACCTGAAAAGTGTTTCAAAAGATGCCAATAATGAAGGTTGAATGTGGAAAACTATAAGTACTAGGAGCAAGAAAAGCAGCTCACCTTTGATGTTGCACGCTGTGCAAAGTAAACATGAACAAGAGCCTTTGCAGTGTCTGAAAGTATCAACTGCTTGAAAACTTCTGCTTCCTGCATAGTGAATCAATGAGCACAAACTATTAGTAATACAAGAAACCTCAAATCTCCAGGAAAAGGTTACCTTAAGAACTCCACTGTATCCACCATGAATGATTCCTTCTTCTATCACATCAATGCAAGCATGATGGTGAGGCATATTTGGTGCTATTTTCTTGGCTACTTGTCTTGCATCCTTCAAAACATCACGAGCTTCAGATAAAGAACCAATTTTGTCTGTCCTGTACAGTGGGCGCAAAAAGGGTTTACGTCCAAGTGCAATGTCTAGAGCCCACTTTCTTGACGTAC